GATGGCAACTAATGTCGTGAATATCTATAAACTCATTGAAAGGACGCAACGAACGGAAGAGGACCTGAAAGAGCTGTTCACCGAAAAAGACTTAAAACTCTACAGAACTGTGACGAACAGAATCCGCTAAACCATTGCAATTGAGTTCGGCATCCCTTCGGTTCAGCTCAACACAGCGCTGTCGACGTACTTCGTGAGGATAACGACAAAGAGGGCTCAAATTACAACCGACGTGTATTGGCGCCAACACCTCGACAAACAGACCTATAAGTCCTTTCATTTCACTTCTCCTATATTTGTCGACATATGGGAAGGACTTCTCCTTTGGACGCTTTGTATTCGCGGACGAGATGTCGAACACAACAATTGAGCCTAAGTTGGGACGACTTTCGGCGTTCACATTGGGCTCAGAGAACTGGCACTTCGTCTCGAGGGTCACCTCTGGGACGAGATATTCGCTGCGTATGGCCTTCACCTGTAACCCTATGTTCGCCGCCAAAGACCCCGAGACTGGTACACCGCACATAAGCGCCCAACCATTTTGTTATCTGTATGGAGTAGGCTATCCAAACTTGAATTTACTCCCACCCCAACAAATATTACCGAATTTAGACTAAAGTGAATATAATGTGTATTTATTATGTTAAAATCCAAAATCTTATTTTATTTTATTAAAATATTTTAACTTTTATTAAATTAATTTATACAATTAGTGCTCAAATTGATATACAGTATAACACCTTAAAGGTCTAATTAGTATTCATGAATGTTGCAAATTATCTAAACTTAAATGCCTAATATTAATCGTATCAATTAACCTTTGTTAATCTAGTTTCATTAAATTGTGTCTGCTTAATATTAAGGGATTGCTTATATTTAAAATATAGTGACTAAATATAATGCTTTTTATTATTTTACCAATAGGATACTATGAAGTGGATGAGCAGGCTAGTTTTAGTGGTGGTGGCGGCTATTATGCTGTCGATAAGCGAAATCATGGCTAACGCAGATCCAATACCGGAGCCAGGGACCTGGGGTGGAAGGTGCTTGAGTTGTGGCTAGTAATAGATAACACGCTAATAAATTGTCGTTTTTGTAAAACTCTATGTTTTATAAAATAATTTTTGTCTTTATTATTACATATGAATCAATAAATTGATGTTAAACTCAATGTTTAAAGACTCATTCATTTTAATTGATTTTATTTCGATACATACGGTATATATTATGCAATAATGATTTGTTGCAATTAAATTACTTTTCAAAACTATTAGGTATTGAATTACTGCCACTCGTGGTGAACGTCTTAGAGTCGCTGGACATGGACCTCATAGGATCAACAGTTTCAGGTGAAACTGGAGCTCAGCGAGGATGACAACTAACAACAGTACTGAGCGCCGGTCTGTCCTTATTGAACATAAGGGCCCCGCTCTCCATAATAGCCCTCTTAAACAGACCCTTTGATAGGGGAGACAATATGTGCGCCGATACGGACCAACTGCCGGCGCTCTCACCAAATATAGTGATCTCATCCCTATCCCCACCAAATGCATGGATGTTATCTCTCACCTAGTATATTTTTAATGCTTAATAAATCAAAAGTAATATCTTAAAATTTATTAAAATGAATACCCATTTAAGCGCTAATAACTGGTCATAAAAGTCCACATTTCCGGGCGCTGTCTCATCGCCACCGTATAGGAAACCTAAGGGTCCGACCCTATAGTTCACGGAAACAACGACCACATCATTGGTGGCCAAAACACTCGCGTTATAAATGTCTTGAAATATGGATCCTATATTAAGTGCCCCGCCGTATATCGAAAACATAACAGGCTTTAACTGTGATCTTGCTGAACTTTTATTCAATATATACGCCCATATATTGATTACCAGACAATCCTCACTTTGGCGCTCTCGTGACGGATCCCTTTTTATTGGATCCGTGTATTGGATACAGGAATTGCCAGCAGCCGTGCCATCGATAGTGTCCTTGATTATAATATTTGTCATAAATACTAATTTTGAGACAGGTTTTATAGACTTGCTTTTTTAGGTGTTTTAAGGGGTTGTGGTGGACTGAACCTGAGTGGGCCCACCGGGGGCTCAGCATAAGGTATATTCAAGAATTGATTGATTTTGTGATTCATAACATTCAGTGTCTGTCCCCTCACTCCACCCGAACTTGTATTCACGACAACACTATTACTCTCATCGCAAACACACCATTCAATGCACACCACTATTACACTCACTATTAATAAAATATTTAATTTAATATAATTTATCATTTTTAATTTAAATATGTTCAATAAATAAAAGAAAAACTAATATTTAAATATATTTATACTGAAGTATTTCAAATAATTTATACGGTACATGAAATAAAACATGTGAAACAAATAAAGCAATTTTAAATATATTTAATTAATTCAATTTTAATACTTTAAACACTTTTTAGACATTTAAAATTATATAGATACTTTACAATTACCAAACATTTTTAAATTCATATTTTGTAGTGTAATCATGAAAAAGTATACTAACAATAATTGTTAGTGCAATGGGTCTTCATCGAGAGCTAGGGGTATAATTAGTGAATCAAATGATTGTTTGGAGTCCAAACTTTGGACAATAGTTAACTTATATATTCTATACATATTCTACATATTGTACAATATTGTACACTACCTTAAATTATAACCTAATTAAAAGAATTTTATAAGCTTTCCATAGCAGTACAGTATTATAATTTATAATAATGAATTCCAGTTTTAAATCAAAACTTTTGATTCAAAAGTTTTGAACAACTTTTCCATTCAATCATTTGTGAATGAAATGCATTTTTGCACAAATAGTACGTTATTTGTGTCGAAAACATGGATTTTTTGATCACATTTTGATTTCATTTTGAAAGTTCAGTCGATTTGGGATTGAATTGAAAACACAAAACAATCAGTCATTTAGTGGTCGTTTGACTGCCATTACTGTCACACCAATCCATTGGATCCGTTAGTCATGTAAGTAATCATCTGTTGAGACACCGGTTCACACCATTCAATGCTCTCATTGTGTCTCATCTGCAAAGGTCTCCGCAATCCAAAAGCAAATCCAAGAACTCAAAGGACGACAGCCGAAGAAGGAGTTCCAGTGCCAGCAGCGGCTCCCGAAGCAGGTAATGGACACCACTATCAGCGACCAATCACTCAAACAATTGATACCACGCTTTGTATGTTGTCTTAACAGTCGCAGCGGTTCCCGAAGCAGTTCCAGTGGCTCGCGAAGCAGTTCCTCGAGCTCTGGCTCTTCGCGGTCGAGCGCTTCCCACTCGCGGTCGCCGTCGCGGTCGAGCAGCTCTTCGCGATCGCGCGGCTCGTCTTCGCGCAGACGTCGCGCGCGCTCTCCGTCACCAAAACGCGTGCGAAAGCCGTCGCCCAGTCCTCGGCCGACGCGTATTCACGTCGGAAGACTCACCCGAAACGTGACCAAAGATCACGTGATGGAGATCTTCAGCGTCTACGGCATCGTCCGGAACGTTGAGATGCCTTTCGACAGAACTCATCCGCATTTGAGTCGCGGCTTCGCTTACGTGGAGTTCGAGAAACCGGACGACGCGGACAAAGCCATCAAATACATGGACGGCGGACAAGTGGACGGCCAGGAGGTCAGTGCCACTCCCGTACTGGTGCCCAAACGGCCGCCGTTCTCGGGTCCGCCGCCCCGTCGCGGACCGCCTCCGCAGCAGTGGCGCCGCGATTCGCCGCCTCGAGGAGGAAGAGGGGGAAGGCGTGGCGGTGGTGGTGGTGGTGGCGGACGATCTCCTCCGAGGTATAGATCGCCGCCGCGTCGGCGCTCGCGAAGCAAATCCCGTTCCCCGGCTCGCAGACGACGCGACTCCAGTTCCGGTTCTTCGCGCTAATGCTCGCATGAAATGAGTGTCTCATTCGCACGCATTCATCCCATTCCCTACCATCCCCTCTCTGTGACCACAACTACTATATTATTTAATCTCAATATTAACGACACATAAAAATTAGTGTAAAAAATGTTTTTATTTGTGAATTCGTATTAAACGTAAAACTTTTTTCACCAAAATTTATAATTACTTCTAAAAAATGCCCGAATTTATCATGATTTAGATGAAAAACAAATTGACAACAAATTAGTTTACAATTTATAAGCTTATGAAAGACTATAGTATTAGAGCTCATCCTTCGAGTCCTTGGCGTCCTCTTTCTCGTCCTCCTCATCCACTTCCTGTCAATGCATTCAACACAATGTTAGCACAAATGTCACTACAGTTTACGGCATAACATGCAAAGCAATTGGTTTTCTAAAGTTTGTGATGCACTGAGAGTACAAGAGATGTAGAGGTTTGCGTTCATTTCATGCATACGAATACAAACACCAATCTATCAGCAAATCTGTGGGGGTATTGAAACTAAAAGTAAACCACATCCCTGTTAACTAACTAAAGGTGTTGTTCCCCTAATGGGCCACAACATGACCGCCTGGATCTGCACACATCACTGACTTTAGAAGTGTGTAGAAGACATGCAAAGCAATGGCGAACCTCTTGTTTGAGATCAGCGTGTTTGAGGCCACCGCTCTCTACAAACTTTGTGAGACCCTCTAAATTGCGTTCCCCGTCATAGTCCACCACCTGATTAGTCATATAAATGATACAAAATTAGTGATAATCACCTGATCGGGCGCCGCTCTCCCGTATTCGCCGTCAGTCTCTAAGAACTGAGTCAACCCCTCGAGGGTTCTCTCGCCGTTATATTCAATTACCTGACGGATTGCATTCAAATTGAAATCACATTCAAATACAATATTCATGACTCGAAATCAAAAAAATCATATAAATTCATATAATAATCGCCTAAAACTCATCTCTAAATTCAATAAAATACCGGCGAAACGAGTGTCACAATCGGGGTATACCTTATTAGTCTCCTTTTTGAACAGTTTAATGGTGGGGAAGCTGTTGATCTTAGTGTGCTCGAGCTCGTTGGCCGTGGCGTCCATCTTGGCGATCACCACCGTCGCCGAGTCCTTGAAGTTCTCACCCAATTGCTCGTAGATGGGCACCAGTTGTTTGCAGTGTCCACACCACGGGGCGTAGAACTCCACCAACACGTCCTTCGACTTGTCGAGGGCCACGTCGTCGAAGTTGGTCGACACCAGGGTCTTGACGGGCGTCTTATCCCAGTCGTCGGGCAGTTCCTGAGAGAGCAGGTGTTGCTGCGAGAGAGAGAGAGAGAGTTGAGGTATCGTTGAGTATATACAGTATATCACCGACACATGTGGTGTCAGTTCCGGTGACAATACCTTCACTTTACCGCTGAGGACGCCTTCCACGAAGGACTTGATATTTTTTTCGTCAATTGTGGCGCTTTCGGGCTTAAATTTGGTCATCTCTTCCTCCAGTTTGATGAGTCGCATGGATGGCGTCTCGCCCTTCTTGAGGCCGAAGAACTCCATAATCCTCTCGTGATCTTCTTCGTCGGTGTTGATCGTCACGAACAGCACTCGATTCTTGAACTCTTTGGCCACAGTCCTGAACGCCTCGATTATGGTCTCGTACTCCGAGCTCTTCGCGCTCACGAACAACAGGTTATGCGCTTTGATTTCACCGCCGAATATCTTTTGCGCCGTCTTTTCATACGAAATACAATTGCAATCAAAACGATTGTCTCCAGAACTACAAGTGGTCACCACTTCCTCTTACCTCATGGCTGAACTCGACGACCAGCGGAAGACTATTGGTTGAGACAAACTTCTTCAGCGTCTCGGCGGTCACCTCTCCCTCCAAGTCGTTGCGCTTCTCATCGAAGTTCTTGAAGAGAACGATACCGTCTTTGTCGACACCCAGAGCCGTGTAAACGGATTCGTCGGACGCGATGGCGAACGGGTGCTCGTCGTTATCGGCGGCCACTTCTAAGTACGTCTTGGCGTCGGCGCTGTCCCTGTCCTTGAAGAAGCCGACCACCACTACCGACGCGCTCTCCTTGAACTTCGTCGCCTGCTCTTCGGTGGTCAGATCGACGGCCGGCGGACCCGTCTTCTTCTTCAGCCATTTGACTATGTCTTCGGCAGTGCGTCCGCCGCCGTATTCGGAAGGCTTTCCGTTGCGGAAGAACTTCAGCGTCGGATACCCTCTCACTTCAAACTGTTCGGCCAGTTCTGACTCTTCGGTGGCGTCCACTTTGCCCAACAGGATGTCCGACCCCTCATCCAACAAAAGAGTGGCCGCTTTCGCGTACTCGGGCGCCAACGCCTTGCAGTGTCCACACCAGGGGGCGTCTGTGGGGGTGACCAGAGGGAGGGGGCAAAGAGTTAGACATCGAGTGCGTAATCACAAGACAATCGCGGGTTTGAATCAAATGACAAGAGTTTATTGACATTCACTCTTCACATCCAGACTCTACTGCAGACAACAGACACAGCAATCATGGATTGAGTTGTCGTCACAATGACTACAACTCAACACTTGGATTGCAATCCGGGTTACAATGACTCCGTCAGCGAAAAAGGCACTCAATTAATGTCCGCAGTATTTGTCACTTCATTGCAACCCAATCGCCGTATAAACGGCTAAATAGCGACTCATTATAGCGTCAAATAAATGAGAAAATACTCACAAAACTCGACTAAAAGGTATTGATT